ACAGACACAGAATTGTTACTCGCACAGACACAGAATTGTTACTGAGTGCCAGAGAATTGTTACTCAGGGACAGACAGAATTGTTACTGAGTGCCAGAGAATTGTTACTCAGGGACAGACAGAATTGTTACTGAGTGCCAGAGAATTGTTACTCGCACAGACACAAAATTGTTACTTGCACAGACACAGAATTGTTACTCGCACAGACACAGAATTGTTACTCAGGGCCACAGAATTCATACTCAGGGACAGACAGAATTGTTACTGAGTGCCAGAGAATTGTTACTCAGGGACAGACAGAATTGTTACTGAGTGCCAGAGAATTGTTACTCAGGGACAGACAGAATTGTTACTGAGTGCCAGAGAATTGTTACTCGCACAGACACAAAATTGTTACTTGCACAGACACAGAATTGTTACTCGCACAGACACAGAATTGTTACTCGCACAGACACAGAATTGTTACTCGCACAGACACAGAATTGTTACTCAGGGCCACAGAATTCATACTCAGGGACAGACAGAATTGTTACTGAGTGCCAGAGAATTGTTACTCAGGGACACCTAATCGTTGAATTAAATAGTATGTCAGACAACATGCAGAGGAGTGGCAGAGGAGGCAATGTTTTAGGAGCGAGCAGACGTGGCAGCAGAGGAAGGGGTCGAGGCAGCAGTATTCGCAGCCAGAGGCCAGTGCTCCCGGTGTCATCCAGCGGTCGTGTCTCCACCGACAACCCTGCCATCATTGATTGGTTGGCTCGGTCGTCTTCCTCTTCCCAGGTCACCTCTGACACCTACAGCCAACGGTCGGTGGGTACGTCAGACACAACCGTCAGTTGGCATGGCCCGGGAGCAAGCCCACTGAAATCACGTGTCCTCTACCTGCCCCTGTCCTTTGCTGTTCCCTCACCAAGCGAAGTATCGCATGCTGTGGGCTCAGCCCCACTGTACAGTGAGGAAGAGCTAACAGAGGGCGGTCAGGAACGGGGGGAGACATCGGCCTTTTCAGCAGCCAAGCGAACAAGTACTGGCGAGGAGAGTGGCTCGGTAGCCGGTCTAGAGACAGGTCTGTCTCCTGACCCAGACGCAGCCGAGGGGGCTAGTAGTGAGGCGGAGACCCTACTTGATGATGAGGAGGTTGATCGCACTTGGCAGCCCTCGTCGTCATCAGGCAATTTCTTCCGCATCATCAGGAGAAGAGGGTGGCAGCTTGGCAGCGAGCAAAACAGTCGGTGGGTTGCCCAGGAGACAGCAGCAGGGTCGCATCAGTGTCAGTGGAGCCAAACGTCCACGGAGTAGAGCACCAGCTCCACTGCAGCCTACCACCACGGCCAGTAGTGGTGCCGGTGCGCACGGAGGAAGTAGCAGTCAGCCAGTGAAGAGTAGCGGGGGCAAAGTTTCCTACTCGGTGGTGTGGCAATTTTTCCTCAAGCCGCCCGAGGAAGTAAACGTAGCCGTATGTCGACTATGTGGCCAGAAATGCAAGCGTGGCCAGGGGGCCCATGTTGGGACTACAGCGTTGCGTCAGCATATGCAGCGTCACCATTCGGTGGCCTGGGAAAAACCGTGATAAACATACGGCGGTTCTGCCTGCCCCAGCCCCCGCTCCATCACCCGCTCCGTTACTTGCTCCGTCACCCGACGTCGTCAATCGCCCTCTATCAGCCAGTCAAGGCTCCAACACCTCTGCTGAGGGGAGTTGTCGCTCGTTGGCATCTTCCGCTCGTTTAGATGCTCCTTCTCCTGCTACTCCTCTTCTCGGATTCCGTCAACAGTCTTTCTTGGAATCCGTATCCAAGAGACAACAGTTTGCGAGCACGCACCCGACGGTGCAAAAGCTGAACGTCCTCCTGTCCAAGTTGCTGGTGCTGCAGTCCCTCCCTTTCCAACTGGTGGACTCAGCACCTTTCCGAGAAATGATGGCTTGTGCCGCGCCGCGGTGGAGAGTGCCAAGCCGTCATTTCTTTGCCCAAAAGGCAGTGCCAGCCCTGCATTCACATGTAGAAGAGATGGTGGGCCAGTCTTTGAGCATGTCGGTCTCTGCCAAAGTGCACGGCAGCGCCGACGTGTGGAGCTGTAACTACGGTCAGGGACAGTACATGTCATTTATGGCCCACTGGGTGAACATGGTGCCGGCACAGCCGCACCAGCAACTTGGACAGGTCACGACGCTTTTGCCTCCACGTTTGCACGTCCTTGGTCCAGCAAGCATGTCCGCCTCTACCACCTCTTTTTCCGCCGTGTCCTCAGCCGCCACCCCCGTGCCAAGTCCCATTACCCGACCGGCATATCACATGTGCAGGGCGCAACGGTGTCACGCTGTGCTGCACCTGGTATGCCTTGGCGAACGTAGTCACACAGGGGAGGAACTGCTGAGTGTAATGAACAGAGAAATCGACAGATGGCTGTCTCCGCGCAAACTAAAAATCGGAACCATGTTGACTGACAACGGAAAGAACATGGTGTCTGCTCTGCGTCAAGGAAGGTTGTGCCATGCATGGCTCACGTGTTCAATCTGGTTGTCAAGCGGTTCCTAAAATCCACCATCCCACTGCAAGACATCCTTAAAATGTCACGTATACTGTGCATGCATTTCAGCCATTCCTACACCGCAAAGAACACCCTCATTGAGCTGCAGCGGCAGAACGGAATTCCACAGCATCGCCTGATCTGCGACGTTGCAACAAGGTGGAATTCAACCCTACACATGTTAGACCGCCTTTACGAGCAGCGAAAGGCCATCACCGATTTCCTGATGTTACAAGCGGATAAAGGTACTCCCCTGTGTAACTTAGATGTCAGCCATTGGCAGCTCATGCGTGACACCTGCCGCTTGCTCAGGCCCTTTGAGGAGGCCACGCTATTCGTGAGTCGGCAGGACTATGGGATGAACGACGTCATTCCTCTGTTGCACGTCCTGGAACAAATGCTGTTAACAATGGCTGGTCAGGGTGCGGTAGACGTGGCACCAGATCTCAACGCCACATGACCCCTGTGGGGGCAGGACAGGAAGAAGAGGAGGAGGTAGAGGAGGACATTTGTGCTCAGGAATTATTGAGTGAAATGGGTGGTTTTTCCACTCAGCGGACAGGAGTGGAGGAGCAGGAGCATCTGGTAGAGGAGGAGGAGGAGGAGACAGAGGACCCAGACGCACCGTGGCAGTATGCTGTGGAGATGGAGGCAGGGAGTCCCTCGCATTCCTTGGCACAAATGGCCCATAGCATGCTCGGTTGCTTGCGTAGCGACAGCCGAATAATAACCATCAGACAGAGGGATGACTTTTGGCTGTCCACCTTGTTGGACCCTCGCTACCGGTCCAAAATGGTGGCCTTTTTCACACCTGCTGAGAGGGAGGCCAAAATTACGTACTATAAAAACCACCTATGTAGTCAGTTGGTCTCTGCCTTTGTGCGCCAACGTCCATCCTCAGACACTGTGGGCCCTGTGCGCTCGCGTTCCGCTGGCATGGCAGCAGGGGAGGGGTGGGGTGGTAGGAGCAGTGGCAGCTCCACCAGCAGCGGCTGCCTCAGTCTGCAGTCGATGAGTAGCTTTCTTCACCAGCGCAGTGAGGAAAACTACTAACCAGCCGCAGCAGCAGCAGCAGCATCAGGTGGACCTGGAGCAGGAGCTCAAACAACAGGCTTGGGCCTACTTGGACAGCACCCTGCCAACCGAGGTAGACAATCCCCTTGACTACTGGGCAACGAAACTTGACCTTTGGCCCCAACTAGCTGAATTTGCCCTTGAAAGGCTGTCATGCCCGGCCAGTAGCGTGGCATCGGAGCGCGTGTTTAGTGCGGCAGGAGGTATTGTAACTCCGCGGAGGACACGACTGTCCACCCAAAGTGTGGAGAGACTCACGTTTGTGAAAATGAATCAGGCGTGGATTAGTCTGGATTTCAAACCACCAGTTCCTGACACAACTGACTAAATCCGCCATGAATCATGCCTCAAACATGTGCCACTTTCAGGTCTCCTCACACTGCTGGTGTGTTTAATTTTTGACATAGGGTGCTGGCAGATTACGGGCCTCCTATAGCTGCTGCCAGGCCCCTAATCTGCCATAGGCCCCTATATACCGCCTCCTCATGCTGCTGCTAGGTCCAGAGTCTCTCATGGGTCCCTGTACGGCCTCCCATTGCTGCTGTCTCCATCGCCACACTCTGCTGCCATGTGCCACTTTCAGGTCTCTTCACACTGCTGGTGTGTTAAATTTTTTGACATAGGGTGCAGGCAGATTACGGGCCTCACATAGCTGCTGCCAGGCCCCTAATCTGCCATGGGCCCCTATATACCGCCTCCTCATGCTGCTGCCAAGTCTAGAGTCTCTCATGGGTCCCTGTACGGCCTCCATTGCTGCTGTCTCCATCGCCACACTCTGCTGCCATGTGCCACTTTCAGGTCTCTTCACACTGCTGGTGTGTTTAATTTTTTGACATAGGGTGCAGGCAGATTACGGGCCTCACATAGCTGCTGCCAGGCCCCTAATCTGCCATGGGCCCCTATATACCGCCTCCTCATGCTGCTGCCAAGTCCAGAGTCTCTCATGGGTCCCTGTACGGCCTCCCATTGCTGCTGTCTCCATCGCCACACTCTGCTGCCATGTGCCACTTTCAGGTCTCTTCACACTGCTGGTGTGTTAAATTTTTTGACATAGGGTGCTGGCAGATTACGGGCCTCCCATTGCTGCTGCCAGACATGTAATCTGCCATGGGCCCCCGTACCGACTCCTCATGCTGTGACGTTGCAACAAGGTGTAATTCAACCCTACATATGTTAGACCGCCTTTACGAACAGCTAAAGGCCATCACAGATTTCCTGATGTTAAAAGCAGATAAAGGTACTCCCTGTGTAACTTAGATGTCAGCCATTGTCAGCTCATGTGTGACACCTGCGCTTGCTCAGGCCCTTTGAGGAGGCCACGCTATTCGTGAGTCGGCAGGACTATGGGATGAATGAGGTCAAATCGGCCATGGGCCCCCGTACCGCCTGTTCACGCTGATGCTGGTCCCACAGTGTGACCTGGGTCCCTGTACGGCCTCCCATTGCTTCCACTCTGCCATGTACCTCTTTGAAATCTCCTCACACTCCTGCGGTTGTCCATTTTGTCATAGGTTGCTGGCAGATTAGCGGCCTTCCATAGGTGCCAGCCAGGCCCCATATCGACCATGGGCCCCCGTACCTCCTGGTCACGCTGCTGCTGAGCCCACAGTGTGACCTGGGGTCCCTGTACGGCCTCCCATTGCTTCCACTCTGCCATGTGCCACTTTGAAATCTCCTCACACTCCTGCGGTTGTCCATTTTGTCATAGGTTGCTGGCAGATTACAGGCCTTCCATAGGTGCCACCAAGCCCCATATCGGCCATGGGCCCCCGTACCGCCTGGTCACGCTGCTGCTGGGCCCACAGTGTGACCTGGGTCCCTGTACCGCCTCCCATTGCTCCCACTCTGCCATGTGCCACTTTCAGGTCTCCTCACGCTCCTGCTGGTTTCCATTTTGTCATAGGTTGCTGTATGGCCTCCCATTGCTGCTGCCTCCACCACCACACTGTGGCTCCAAACACTGGTTTTGGCCCCGTGACTGGCCAAAGGAGTGAAGTGTGCAGTGATTCTAAGATCGACGGCACTCATCTGCATGTCATACTGACAGACAGTATTATTTCTCTTCCCCAGCAGACTCCAAGGGCATTTAAATTAAAGGTACAGTGTTCTGCACTAATATTAAGTCTCTCTGAAGCCTAGAAAACACCCTTTTTTAAGTTAAATTCACAGCGAATTTATTCGACTCGAATCGAATATTGTCCACGAATTCGCCGAATCAGTCGAATCGAATTTTTCATTTCTTCGCTCATCTCTAATTATATTAAACCTACATGGCTTACATCCAGAATTAAAACTCTATAAATAATAGGGAAAAGAACATTAAAAAAATAAAATAAAAACACTATCATCACGTAGCCTCCCTGGCGGTATTCCCAAGTGTAGCTCGGGGTAAAGTTTCAGTACCACAAGTGGTAACCCCCAATCACACTCGGGCTTACCATGCGGCGCTGCTCCGGAATCTTTTCTTCACTTACGTTGTCCTGTGCTCCCGCGATGTCCCTCCTGCAGTGTCCTCCAGCGGATGCTGGCATCTGTCATATGGGTTCCATCCCCTGCGAGCGTTGGGACGTATGGGGACGGAACGGCGGGAAATTTGAAAATGACAAAAAGTGACATTGACCCTAAATTTACTAAAATAACATAAAACATTACTGTATCAAACCATTTCACATACATTTTGTCCGAGTGCTTTGTCCTGTGCCTTGCCTGCATTTGTACTGTTCTTTCTGCTGGAAACTGAGAAATGTCCATGGCGTTCAAAAAGCATCCCTTTAGGTCAAAAGCGGTTTTAGACCAGCTAGAGAACAGCGATAGTAAATTAGAACTACTTGCAGAATTGAGTGATGATTCGTGGGGAAATTCGTCATCAGACACTGAAAACGATTTTGCAACTTTGCTCAGTGATGTGCGAACTTGGCGCTATATTTCAAATTTCAGTGTTTTTGGTGTGATTATATTATTGAATTAAAATTTATTATTATTATAATGTTATTTTTTTTTTATGATTATTAAATTATAATTTCATTTCATGTTTCAAATTTTAACATACCCGGGATGTTTACTAGGCTCTTGTTCGGACAGATTTCAGTGAGTTATTCCTAAAAATTACAGGCCTACAATAAAAAAAATACATATTTCCATGCAAAAAAATGTACCGCTTTGAGCGCAGAAATATGTACATAGACCACTAGGAAGGTTAAAAGTTACAAAGGACACAAAAGAATATATAAAAAGGAAATCAAAGCTTCAAAAATTCAAAATGAATAACCGTTTGCAAAAGAGAGTAGGACAAGGCCCCCATAATTCTTCAGATATATGCATAGTAAAAAGGTCAGGTCCAAACAGTAGGCCCTTTGCAAGATAACTTTGAGTTGGTGACTAGAGACAAAGAAAAGGCAAATGTATTAAAACTTTTTTGCTGTATGTATACAAAGGAAAATGTGGGAGCCCAAGCCCTTAAAGTGGTTGTAAAGCCTTAGATAAACCTACTGAAGTAACTATCCTCAGGTGATACACAGAGATTAAACAAAGCCTCCTACATACATTGTACCTGTTTATCAGTAGCATTTTTTCTTCTCCATTAGTTCAAAGTCCAGAATTTACACAACTTGTTTGAGCTTCTATGGGCAGGGGGGCAGGTATCTGATGTCACACACTGAACAGCTCAGAGAGGAAAGATCTGTGTAACCTAAGAGCTGATTGGAGGGAAAGAAAACACACCCCCTCTGTAACGGAACCAACCCAGACTGCGCTTGAGTATTTCCGTTAGAATACTGCTTCCCCGTCCGAACACATACAACAGACACCACAGCCGACCACACAAGACTAGACGACACCAGTCTATCTGAACATGGAACTCTTTATTTTAAACTCAAACGGGCTTTCTATACAATACACACTGAGACTGATCACATGATCATATGCAAACGCAGCTATATACAGAAATAGGACTTAACACTCTAAACCAGTAAGTCAATTAGGTTAGCTAGCTGGGTTATCTAAACAAAAGGTGAATGGGAATTCACACCTAGACAATGGTTTGTTGAATTAGGATCTCACTACAGAGCAGACGGCCTGTTTCCCACACTGGAGTAGAGGAGAGTCAGCGTGATCAGCTCTTTCAATTCACATGTCTAGTTTAGAATCAACAACCAGGAATAGTCTTCATGTGGCTGATAAATATTACTTTCCCATCTGAAGTAATTCCAACCGCATTCTCAGCGTTCCATTAGTCACCCTGTGCCCCTAAGAGACACAGGGTGACTTTTGCACATAAGAGGGATAGGGTGAGCTTAGGACAGGGGTCTCCTAAACCTCTGCAAAGTAAGTGGGTTCGTGAGCCCCCACCAAAGTGACTCCCGTCCATGGATGGACCTACTGACACTCATGGGCCCCCAGGCAATAGGGGATCATGGGGGCCCCTGTGTCCTTGCCCAAACTCGCCCTCCCACCAGCATACAGGAGAACACGCATAACTGAGACTATCAAATGCGGCAGGCTGTGTGCTGGGAGTCCCCCCTCCCCCTTCTATTCTCTTGGATGGCAGGAGTGATCAGTATAGAAGAATATGCTTCATTTTTTGCCTTCGAACAGTTGTTCAGGAAAATGCATTCATGGTGCAGGTTATTTGCCTGGGTTGCATCACACTAACTCCTGTAGGAATGTTTTTCACACTAACCTTTTAGAGATGATCAAAAAAAAGTTTTTAAAAATGTAATTTTCATTTACTTATTTTGTACAATAATTTGTTTTGCCTTAACTGTTTGAGAATGTAACAAGAACCATCAGTAGCTCAGTATGGCCTTTGGTCACACGCAGTGCCCCTTGGTTTTGCTCACATTGACTCCCTCAGTACTCACAGCACACTTCCATAAGCACTCACAGTACCCACTCAAATATATTCACAGTGCCTCTCACTGGTAATACTCACTAGTGCTCTTTAGTACTCTCAGTACTACATTGACTATTCTCAGTACTCACAATACAATATCTATACGGTCTTATAGACAACTATATTATTATTATTACAGTATTTATATAGCGCCCAAAGGTTATGCTCAGCGTGTACAGTAGCAAGGGGACATAACATGAGCACAAGACAGTAAAACAATACACTACACGAGGGGTTCGAGGGCCCTGCTCTTTCGAGCTTACAATTAGGAGGGAGGGGGATAGGTGGCACAGGAGGAGGATGGCTAGGTAGGGGGATGGAGTGGTGTAAGGGTGGAGTGGAGAGGAAGTTTGTTAGTTAGGTGATTTGGGTCGGGTGTTAGGTGAGGTTGGGGGTAGGCTTCCTGAAGAGGAGGGTTTTGGGTGCGCCTGAGGTGGGAGGGTAGGTGAAATTCTGATGGATTTGGGGTAGGGAGTTCCAGAGGATGGGGGAAGTCCTAGAGAAGTCCTGCAATCGGGCGTGGGGAGGAGGAGACCAGGGAGCTAGAGAGCAGGATGGTCCTGTGAGGAGCGGAGGGCATGGGTAGGGTAGTATGATGAGTATCAGGTCAGTTATGTAGTTTGGGGTGGCATTGTGAATGGCCTTGTAGGTCAGGGTTAGCAGCTTGAACTTGATGCGTTGGGCAATCGGGAGCCAATGAAGGGTTTGGGATCCCACCAGGGGACTTTGACGTGTGGGGTGGGAGAGATGGTAGCATTGTTTGTAGTGATGGAGATGATGGGGGGGGGGGGGGGGGACAGGGTGAGGGGAAGACCAGGAGCTTGGTTTTGGATTTAGGTTAAGTTTGAGGAAATGGAGCGACATACAGTCTGATATGTCGTTTTTAGGAGGTGGGCGATGCGGGCAGAGAGTGAGGGGTTGAGCGTGTGGGGGTGGAGAGGTAAATTTGGGTGTTGACGGCTTGGGAGGTGGTACAATTGAAGCCATGGGAGTGAATAAGTTTGCCCATTGGGAGGAAGGGTAATAGATGGAGAAGAGGAGGGGCCCGAGGAAAGAGCTTGGGGGGGGGACCCCGACAGGGAGGGGGAGGTTGGCAGTGTTGTAAGGTGACGCCTGAAGGAGCAGTTTGGGCAAAGGTAGGAGGCGAACCAGGAGAGAGCAGCGTCCTTGATGCCAAGGTGAGTTCAAGTTTAGGCAAGGAGGAGAGGGTGTCAACAGTGTCGAAGGCCACGCGGGTGAGGGTCGAGAAGCTGGAGGATAGAATAGTGGCCATTGGCTTTGGCAGTTAGAAGGTCATTGGTGTTTGATTTTAAGTGGTAGGGCGGTTTCGGTGGAGTGCTGGGGGCGGGAAGCCAGACTGTAGGGGGGTCAAGGAGGTTTTATCAGTGAGGGTGGGTGCTTAGGCGATTGTAGACCAGGTGCTCAAGGAGAGCTTGGAAGTGAAGGGCAACAAGGAGGATGGGTCTAAGGTTGTTAAGGTTAGTGGGGTCAAGGGAGGGTTTTTTGAGCTTATGGGGGTGATATGTGCGTTGCTTTAGAGGGGAGGGAAAAGGTGCCTGTGGAGAGGGATAGATTGATGATGTGGGTGACGGGAGCGAAATGGATGGAGGGGGGGGGTGTGACTGGAGTTGCTGTGAGGGGATTAGGGTTCCAGGGGGCAGGTGGTGAGGCGCGGACTTCAGGTGAAGCACCGTAGAGAACTCCTCAGAGGGTAGTTGGGTGTAGAAGCGGAGTGTTGGGGGGGGTGAGGGTGTGCGGGGCATTGGGTATATTGTGGGGGGGTAGTGCGGCTATGAGGGCGGGGGAGGTCGGGGGAGGGGAGGGTTGAGGGGTTGGAGGAGGGACAGGAGGCCTGGGTGGAAAGGTGGATTAGTGAGTTGACAATGTCTTTACAGGATTGCATCAATCTTGTTCTGGAATGTGAGTGGCAATCTCGTGGGCGGTAAGTGGGGTGGGGTGGGGGGGGGAGAGCAGGGATTTGATAAGTGGAGAAGAGACGACGAGGACAGGTGGAGAGAGGGTGTGGATAAGGGTTATGAATAGGTTTGCTTTGGTGGCGTGGAGGGAGGTGGTGTAGGCGAGGTAGGCGGCTTTATAGAGGGAGAACGCGGGAGGGGATCTGGTTTTGCGCAATAAGCGCTCCAGCGCGCGACTGCAGTCATTTGAGCATTTTTTGTACGTCGGTCGTTTTTGCCAGGGTTGAAGCGGGGTCGGGGTCTAATGCTACGTGTGGTTAGGGGTGCCAGGGAGTCCGAGGGTTGCTGTATCTCATTGCTCAGATTATATTTAATACAATTCTATACAGTGCAACCCTCATATTACATGATATCCTATGCTTTGTATCTGTGATTAACAACCTGTACCTGTTTATTCACTGTGATGGGCAACCACAGTGATTACAAAATGTAAACAGTAACAGAAAAGTTAGACCAAAGTTGGACTTTTACACACATTTCTCATAAGAATGTATTATAAAATAATTTATATTTGTATCAACATGATTAAAAGACACTTATGGTAAAGCGGAGCATGGTATCCAGTCAGCTTCTACATTCAGCTTGGTTCAATTTAAGCTAAATATTAGCAAGCTGATTGGTTTTTATTCAGAGCTGCACCAGATTTTGCACTCTCCAGTTTTAGAAAATCAACCCAATGTAACAGTCAATGACTGTCAGTGTTATATTTGATCACCCAAACTGTACACAATATGATAATTATTCCAAAATTTCCACATAAGATCTGTAAAGTGATGCCATTGTAACATGTACTCTTTTTTCACCATGGT